TATAGAAAATATATTTTCATCCAGTGGACTGGCATCAGACTCATTCAAAACATGAAGGGTCCCATTGTGTCAGGCTCCTGTTGGTTTGCTTCAGTTTTTCTTTAACTTCTCAACTTGTAGGAAAATGTTGAGAACTTGCAGGGGCCTGCAGAAAATGTTCTGTATGGTCCAAAAGAAGCAAGTCAAAGAAAGAGGGGCACCAGGTAAGTTTAAAGCCTGAGAAGAAGTTAGGATGGGAATCCAACTACAGAATAAATCAACCACTGAAAGCATTTTGAGAAAAAGAATGATCCAATCTAATTTAAAGTTAAGATCTCATGGGCTGCTATGTGGACTGGGAGGGGGATTTGCAAAGGGCAAGTGGAGAATCTGGGAGGCCTGCTGAGGTTACTATAGCATCCTAGGTGAGATGACCTTTCAGGAGTAAATTCTTACAAAATAATCAGCAGCAGCACATATTAATTTACAAGGATGCTCTTCTTAAGATTATATATAAGGAAGGATTGGCAAGGCCCCCAAAGCCAAGAGTCATTTGTTACAATCCTTTCATCTAAGGTCATCAGACTGTCTCCTGAATTATCTCTTACCTAAGCATAGATCAAAGTTCACTGTTCTGCTTTGTTCCCTGGTGGCTGAATCATACTGCTGTATCACCTCAGAGGGCACATTTGACCTGGCTGTCCAGTGGTGGGTCACTAGCAAGGAAAAGGAGTGATATTCAAGAAGGAAAGGATGGAGGAAAATTAGATAGGCATGTGTTCTTCAGGTTCTCTCCTGCTGTTTGTTCTAGGACCTCTACTGAAATCAATCATAATATCACCAAGATATTTGGAGTAAATGCCTCATCCTTGGGCTGAGGACCCTTGGTTTACTCCTGCTTTCACTCTTAGCTTATCAGATAAATCTGTGAAGTTGCAGCTTCTTGAAAAAAAAATTCTGTATAGCCAAAACATTTTTTCTGCCTTTGTTTGTCCTTTTTTTCTACTCACAGAGCAAGAAATTGGTAGGACAAGGGGTCATGCTCATCCAGATCCCAATATCCCCATGCTGAGCTATGGTCTTGCTATACATCTCTCCACAATTGACTTCTAAAATACTTCTAAGTCCCCTTGTAATGTCTGCATCAATAAGTACAGGTCTTTTGGGGAGGGTGATCATGACGGAGATGGAGATGGGTAGTATCAACTAGAATGTCCACATACGTACATACTGAGATTAGAGTATAAAATAACTGTGAAGGGTGTAAAGTGAAGTCATGCAGCTGCAGGCTGGGAGTGGCAGCGGTCCTCCAGCACTAAAATAAGTAACCAAGAAACTCCATGGAGACTAAGTATCTTCCTTGTGAATCTTGTGTTCCAGGTCATTGGGAAGATCTGTCAAAGTAAGGTGATCAAACACATATTATTTTGACATTTGTTTATCTGATTTATAACTGTTAAGTACTTAGGTGAATGACTTATAGACCTCAATTTTCACTCATACCCCATGTGACACAGATGTCAGGTATCTATAGTTCTTGTCTGTGGTCTTCACGTTGGTGACTTTTATCTTTTGGCTTTGAGAGTATGGTAACGACAGTTTCTCTCACCAGTTCATCCCTTATTGGTTTTCCTGAACTCCAATTTTTTGCAAATCCTCCTCATATTGCATTTTTCTTAACTTACCAGCATCACTCATGCCAGGTTTGTCATAGACACATAGAAAAGAGGCCAGAAGTTGAAAACATGGCAGTGCAGACTGACTATAGGACAGTAATTTGAATTTAGTTGTAAACACTGTGTGAAGTGTCAATCAACGTACTAGCTTTTCTTTATTTAAAGAACAGAGACAACTAGTTGTTGGAGCAAAGGATACCGGTTCTAGAATGTCTGGCTCTTTCTCTCTATATATTTAACCCTATGATGGGAAGACACTTCCATTTGGGGTTCTCTCCAAGGTGCCTATCCAATCTGTGCTGTTGCTGATTTTTTTCTACTTTTTAAAATTTCTTTTAATTAGTTATATATGACAGTGGAATGCACTTTGATACATTATATATAATGGAGTATAACTTCTCATTCTTCTGGTTATACATGATGTAGAATCCTACCAATCATATAGTTATATATGTACGTAGGGTAAAAAAATAATATCTGATTCATTCTACATTCCTTTCTTCCCCATATCCCCTTCCTTCCTTCACTCCCCTCTACATAATATAAAGTAACACTATTCTTCCTTATCCCCACCCTCTAGTTGTCAATTAGCATTGGCAAATCAGAGAAAACATTTGGCTTTAGATTTTGGGGGATTGGCTTATTTTGTTTAGCATATTCTCCAGCTCTATCTATTTACCAGCAAATGCCATCATTTCATTCTTTTTTAAGGCTGAGTAATGTTTCATCATAAATATATATACATACATATTTTTTACCTTTATTTTTTAATTTATTTTTTATGTGGTTCTCAGGATCCAACCCAGCACCTCACATGTGCTAGGTGAGTGCTGTACCATCAAGCCACAACCCCAGCCCCAATACCACATTTTTCAAGTCATTCATCTGTTGAAGGGCACCTAGGTTGTTTCCATGGTTTAGCTGTTGTGAATTGAGCTGCTATAAACATTGATGTGGCAGCATCACTGTAATATGTTAATTTTAAGTGCTTTGGATATAAACCAAAGAGTGGAATAGCTGGGTCAAATGGTGGTTTTATTCCAGATTTTATGAGGACTCTCCATACCACTTTCCATAGTGGTTGCACCAATTTGCAGTCCAGCCAACAATGTATGAGTGTACCTTTTCCCCCACATCCTCTCCAACATTTATTGTTGTTGGTATTCTTGATAATGGCCATTCTGATTGGGATGAGATGAATCTTAGAGTAGTTTGGATTTGCAATTCTCTAAGTGCTGAAGATGTTGAGCATGATGCTGGAATCTGATGCATAAATATCTAAATTCTAAAAATTGTTTTTGTTTTTCCTGAAGGGATGAAGCAGGCAGAATCCCTTAGGTCATTCTAGCCTATCAAAATAAAGCCCACCTACCTTCTATACCTACTTCCTATTTATATGCCTAGTCTTCAAGGGGCAAAATTCAGTAACTCTTGATAATTGGCAAAAAGGATTCTCCACTTTTCTTCCCAATAGAGACCCAGAAGATCAGAAAACAAAGGCCTTTTTTTTTTGACATGGATTTGTTTTCCTTTTGCTAAACACATGTGTACACATATAAAAATAAACAAGTCTGTCATAATATATTAAAAGTTGAGGGTTTGGGTTGGTAGCTTTAACATATATTATTTTTATTTTCTACTGTATGCCTTTCTGTCTTTTATAACTAGGAGTCATTATATTCATAATCCAATAAATTGTTTTTAAAATAAGAATGCTAATTTTGGAACAATTTAGTAAGTATCCTAGGGAGAGAAATAGAGAAAATTAACTCTAAAAAAGAGACACACCAAGAATCCTAAGAAGATAAACAGCCTTGTTTTGTTATTTTGACATAGAAAATTAAAAAGTGCTATTATAGTTTTTAGCAACTCTATAAGACTGAATCATTTAGTTGAAACTCATTTCAAGATTGCATCTTGAAAAATGCAAAAGTTTTTCAAATTGCTATAGTTTAGATTTGATTTGTCCCCAGTGGTCCATATGTTAGGAACTTGGTCCCCACTGTAGTGTTGTAGGAACCCATGGGAACCAGTGGGAAGTTCTTATGTTTTTGGAGGAATGGCCGTAGAAGAAACAGAATACATAATTCTTGTGCCACACCTTGGTAGTTTATGTTCAAGGGCTACTATAAAAGCCTGAGCCTAAACCCATCCAGGTCTCTGACTTCCAGAATTGAGATGCAATCTCTCATTTCCATATGTGCTCCTGCCACTACCATCAATGATAATGTGATATAGCCAAGAGGGTGCTAGCCAGAATTGACCTTGATCCCCTGCCTGTCCCTTACACTTTCAAAATTATAATCTACATAAACCTCTATACAAAGTCAGCCACTTTTGGCATTTTGTTATAACAATGAAAAACTGAGAATATTCATATATTATCAGAATAATGGGTGTTTAGAGAGTTTGTAAGGTATTTGTCATTAATTAATTTATTATATTATATAAATATTTATTAAGTGTCCATTGAGTACCAGACATTATTTGTGATGTGTTAGATGTAGTAATGGATAGGTATGTCAAGATTTTTTTTTTTCCTCAGAATTTATTTGAGGGTGAGAAAATAAACAAGTAAGCAGGGAAATTACCAAGATAAGTTCATACAGTAGCATGTACAACTAAATAAAACTTTTTATAGCAGATGAGAAGGAACTATTGTCCCTTGTATTATCAGAAAAGTCCTCTTTAAGAGGGGGACTTAGTTGATTCCAGGATGTCAAGATGGTCATTAATATGGAAAGAACCATTAATTCAAATTTTCAAAAAGAAATGAAGTTACTTTTTTCTCAGTATCAAACTGTAAGGGGTGTGAAATTCAGATGTGAGATGGAATTTGAGTCTAACTCAGGCATGATCTTGGGGGACCCAGTATGTTTTTTTTTTAAATCTTAATTTCCTAGTAGGGTAACAAAGATTCAACAAAAGACCATTGAAAATGTAGCCTGTAATTTCTAAGGCACCAAGAAAACTGCCTTTCTGATTCATATGCCATCAATCCATAAAAGGACAGTGAGGAAAAAGAATTTTTATGTGTGTGTGTATATTTGTGTCTGCAGTACGAGAATGGACCTGAGTTTTAGCGTTTGATCTGGGTTCCACAAGTTGTTTGATGTGATGTAATTGTTATCTCCCCTTGTGGTTAATGGTTTGGATGAAAATATGACAGAAGACAGATTCTATAAGGGTACCAAATGGGTTATATACAACAATGCGAGCCAGGTTGACTTATGGATGTTATTGCCCCAGGAGTGGATTTATTTCCAGCATTATGCTCAACCTTCATGCACAAATAAATGAAATGGATCAATTAACTATTTCATTGACATTTTTCTTTTTATACAGGGCTGTGAATCAGATCACTACTCCTTCACAGATTTTCCCCAGGAGCTGCATTGGAATTGAAGAAGGGTTATTTTAGCAGATGCATGCATAACTCCTTCACACTTACAGCTTTAGATGAAATGATAAAGGAGTGTGCTGTTTACTATTTTCTTCTGATTTTGCCTTGGTGCTCTCTTTTATTTCTACTTTGTAACTGTAGGCAAGACTTGATCAATGGGTATAATAACGGATTTCAGTAGTTTAAGAAAATAATGTAAGCTAATGGGAATAAAACTGACCATTTTTCATTTTCATAAGTCCTGAAATACATTTAGAATATTACTCCATTGGCCCCATGGACAGGGACAGTTTCTAGATTAACAGCTGCTCTGCTTGCTAAGAAAATATTTGTAAAAATTACAGTGAATTTCATGCACTGACACATCATCTTTTAGGATAGGCATATCTAACATGTACAATTTTTTATTTAAAGGCAGACAAATTTGAAAAGGACTAATTATTTCCTGCCTTATCACTTGATGACACAGTATCACCGGTCATCTTTAAATGACAAGAAATTCCCTTAAAAATAAATACTACCACTTTGAAGCACCAGTTTAAAATCAAATCAAATCAATTCTATGAGATTATGACTTTCAAAGGTAAAAAGAGAGTGCTACTAGAGCTACTGCAAGAACAATCATAACTCATCTAAAGGTGTGAAACAATCACATAACTTAAAAAAGAAAATGGTATTACATGGACTTCAGAAACCATTAACAACATGTCCCTTAGAAATCCATGACAAGAAATGACAATGAAACTGCAACATGTGAGAAATTATGAAACAATTAGCCTCTTTTGTTTTCATCACTGAAGATCTTTATGAGAAACTACAAGGAACAATAGGCAACTGACTATGTTCCTGGCTGTATTGGAATTCGGAAACTTGAGGTCTGCTTCCAACTCTGCCTGTAATTAATTGTATGACCTTGAGCCTGTCATTTAATCTCTCTGTACTATAATGTACTATAGTTTACTCATGTATGAAACAAAATTTTTGGAGTAGATGATATTCAAGGTTTCTTTGATTTCATGCTGTTAAATAGTATTGCTGTTTTCTCCTAAAAAGCTCATTTATAAAATGTAAAGAAAATGTCTCTCAGCTTAAAGTAAAATCACTTTTGCCTAAAAGTTACAATACTTGTATTAGCCAGCTAGGGCTGCCATGACAAAATATCAAACAGTGGCTTAAACAACAGACATTGTCTCTGTAAGATGGAAGTCCAAGTTCAAGGGGTTGGCAGACTTGGATTCTGGAGGAATCTTTCCTTGGGTTACATATAGTTACCTTATCACTGGGTTCTCTTATAGCCTTTACTCTATGCATAGTAAACTTAAAGTAAGAAAAATGAAAAGAACGAAGACAAAACAAAACAAAACAAAAAACCTATACTAGCTAATGCAGTCCTAAAATTAGTCCCTTATTGCATACCTCATTTGCATATCATGATATTTGGGGAAGCTTACCACTGTAGTGCCATGAAAATGTCCAAGGAGCAAACATTTTTCTTTGTAGCAATAGTTTCTGTGTCTGGGGTCCATTCTGGTCCTGTGTCTCTTAAAGGTTTTAAGGCATGCTATAATCATTCTGCCCCAGCAACGACTCTTGAGTTTGGGCTTTCCCTGAGCTTGAATGCTCTTCTTTGTTGTATTGTTCTGTGAGAAGCAACAGGTTTTAAGTGTGTGAACATCAACTAGAGCACTCTCCACCCTTCATCTGGATATGTGGCTTAGGTCCTTAGTGTGCACATGGTGATCTCGCCAGCTTCACAACAATATGTCACAAACAGTGATGAACAGTCTTAGTCCAAAGAGGTTCAAAAGAAAGCTCTCATCAGCGTGTTCTCAAGCCACTTGAGAAAAACCTCTAGTTTGCACACACTGTTGATAAATCTGCTCTGGAATACAGGGAATTTCTTTTGTCTGGCAGACATTGTTGTTTGTGTTAAAAGGCAAGCTGGATACAGCTTTTCAGCTTTTTAGAGTAGCACAGTATCTTGTTTCCAAATCTGTACAACAATATCAAAGCAATCCATCTTTCTGTATACAAAGAGGGTCATAGAAGAGTGTCCAGTGAGTAAGGCCTTATTGGTAATACATATAAAAAAAATAGGAAGAGAGAGAGAGAGAGAGAGAGAGAGAGAGAGAGAGAGAGAGAGAGAACGAACCAAAGTTCAGGCAAAACCCACAAATTCTATCCCAATAACTATCTCTCTGGGGATTCTCTTAATCTGGCAAGTGAGGTTGGCTAATGAGTAATTATATTTCCAATTTCATACTATCATTATAATTTACACATTAACTGTGACCCACATTATGTAAATTGCCCTTGAAACATGTCCAATGTGAAATTTAAAAAAAAATGTATAACATTTCCACAAGCTGTGAATTAATGTGGCAACTCACAGATTTTGTATCTGTAAATTATGCCTAGTCTGTTCTGCATTGAGTCCTAAGAAGCATAGGCAGTGGATAAGACCATGGAGTCTCAATTTGGATAGCTTGTGTTCGAATAGGGCAACCTAGCTTAAACACTTGGGCCATGGAGCTTTGTCAGATAACATGGCTTCTTAGACTCAGTTTTCTTATCCGTAAAAATGGAAGTAATAACTTCTGCAACAAAAAATTGTTGTCATTGGGGTCAAGTAAAAAGTTAGATATAAATCTCTTAGTTTAGTTCCTCGTGGGGAAAAAGGATGCAATAAATATTTGTTATAATCACAACTTTTCTGTAATAGGTTGTTGCTGTGTTCCATGCTAGGGAATCTGGATATATATCAAGAAATTTCCACAAAGTAAACATTAAATAAAAGGTCCAAAAAGGTCACCTAAAGATATAATTTAAGTGATGGAAACTATATAATTCAAATGATAGAAATATACAGGAAAACATTAACAAATAAAAACAAACATTCCTGAAACATAAGACATTGCAGAGTTTTTAGACTCTGTCTATAGAAATGCAAGATCCCAGACTGACATTTATTTTCATGTTGAATCATAAATCACCAGCTGATTTTAGAAAAACATGTGTACTTTCTATCTTAATAATAACTCCAATTATCATATGCTCTGCTTTCTCTTTTTATTCAAAATCACTGAAACAAACTAAAACCGAATGACAATTACAACCATATCTATGTTGAGAATTACCTCAAGTAGCTTAAATGAATTAAAGACATGCTCACGCTCATGCAGGTTGTGTCAAGGAATTCAAAATCAAGATAAAAATTCCAATTAGTAAAATGGTGTACAGTAAAGAGAAATGTGGTTATATTTTAATTCTAGCTAGAAATACTCTACATTTATTTAAGGCTTAGACGTTGTAGCAGACACTGTTGATCACCACCACCTGCTTTTCCCCCTTCTTCCTGGTGATAAGAACCCTTCCCACTGCAGACACTGAAAATGCTGGCTCTTTGCCTTTCCAGTAACTTGCTGATGGACTACAGACATGTGATTTAAGGAGAATGAGTCCTAATCACTAATGGGTAAAGATCACCCTTATAAAAAAGCAAAGTGTGGAAGAAAAAAATACCTTCAACCTGCCTTTAGAAGTTTTTCCCTAAAGATGGAAAACAGGAGACAAAGCAGCTATTTTAGGATCATAGAGCTAAGTTATGGGACTTTTTTAAGAAGCCATACAGATGCTTCTAAATTGAACAATCCTGGAAACCTTTGCATTCAAAATTACTATAATGTGAGAAAATGAAGTAAATGGATGTAAACCTCTTTTGTCAAGTATTCTGGTATTTGGAATTGATACAAGATTTCTTAAGGGTTAGAGTTATGATAACAAATGACAGCTTTCAATATACTTTACAAAAATATTAACTTTCATCATAATAATCAGCATTACATTGATTATTGAGAAATAATTTTTTAATCAATCCTATCATTGGAAGGAATAAACATATTTAAAATATTATAATTCCTATTGAAACAAATTTAATATGGTTCTATTTAAGAGAAGAGAGAGAGAGAGAGAGAGAGAGAGAGAATATTTAGAAAAATATTTAAACCAAATTTAACATTAGGTATTCTGAATATCAGTTAAATTAAATGGTTATTTTTTAATAAAAATATTAGAAACTCATCAGAACTTTTTTATCGTTTACTTTTTATAGTATCTAAGTTAAAATCATAACTAATTTTATTTTAAAACAATGGATAAAAACAATGATAATTCACCGTGTTATACGTTAAATTGTGTGAGGTTGATGGAAAATAATAAAAGGTTACTCTCATATGTTTACTCCCAGAGTCTAATTTGTATAAATATTCTGGTGGGTAATTTAATAATGTGCAATATAAATGTAGAAATGAAATGTTTGTGTTTTTTTCATATGTGCGAGTGTGTTAGGGAATGTTATTTCTGCAGTTTTTCTATAAGTGTATCTATCCATGCAGTATGTTCAGGGAGAAAAAAACATTCTGAAAGAATAATCACCAATTCTTAATGTTGGTTTTAATTGGGATAGGTTATTATGGAAAGATGGAAAACTTTACTTTTTATTTTGCATGCCTTTATTATTTAAGTTCTTGATCTTTAAGTTATATTAACGGTGCATATTTTTAATATTTAAAATAAAAACACAAAAATATAGCAAGGATTTATTTAGATTATGCCAAACTGTGTTATTAAAACTCTGGGGTTTTTTTGTTTTTGTTTTTTTTTAGTACTGGGGACTGAACTCAGGGGCATTCGACCACTAAACCACACACTTAGCCCTATATTTTTTTTGTATTTTATTTAGAGACAGGGTCTCACTGAATTGCTTAACACCTTGCTTTTGCTGAGGTTAGCTTCGAACTTGTGATCCTCCTGCCTCAGCCTCCCAAGCCACTGGGATTACAGGGTTGTGCCACTGCGCCCAAGACTATTAAAACTCTGAAGAGACTAACTGGTTGCTGCATTTATGTGTGGAAATTTACAATGGGTCCTGATATAAAACATTAGCAAGCAGTAGCTACAGTGGTTACAGAGAACACTCTATATAAGTATGTTGGTCCTTGCAAAAGTACAGAATAATATATGGCTTCATGTACTCAAAAACATGACAGACCAGGTCCTTTGTTTTGAACCATTTAATGAATTTATAGTATTCGGCCAA